CCAGTGTGACCCAGACAGAAGCGATCCACGCCTAGGAATCCCAACAGAATGGAGTACAAGAGGGTGGTCACAAACCGATGGCCAGAGTATCTGGAGACCAGAACCACAACATATAATCAATCCATAACAGAACGTGTGAATAAAAGGTTAACCTTTTTAATGCCATTATCTGATGTTAAAACTGTAAAAGAAGGTTTTAAAGCTAGCCTGAATTTCAGACAATTACCTCGAGTTGGTTTTAATCCTTCAGTTGCTGAGAGGAGAAAAAACTTGAAGTAATCGTCTGAAATTCAGGCCAGTTTTAAAGCAGGGTAGTCAGAGGTTTAGTAATGTTACATGAAACAAAGGCAACTGACTACTGGTATTGAAGGTGCCTCAGGATGCAGCACATGCTGAGAAAACTTTCCTATATTTTGTCAAAAATCAGATTTAACTTACCTCTAACCTGCAAAACAGCTATCTCTCCTAGCTCCTTGCCTAGAAGGACATTTTGCCATGAAGGATGTATGTGCCTAAGCTACAGATAATTATTCCATAATAATGATGTAAATCAATGTTTACATAATTAATCCAGCAGTCATAAGATTTTATGTGTCTCCTAGACTATTAAGGTAAAGTTTTGTGTTCTTCTGCGAATGAGCTCCAACAAAAGTTTTAAGTTTTCTAAAGAAGAATATATTCCACAAATAGTGACTGTTTTTTAGTAGATTCATATTGTTTGCATTTGCCCTTTGTGACCATTTGTCTTTTGTCTGAACACAATTTAACTACCACACCGACCAGTCAGAGCTCCTCACCAGATTCCGGACAGATTCCACATTATCTGTATGGAATTTCTGCCGCTGAGGCACAAATGTCCCTCCTGGCAAAAGTCCCAAGCAGTAAGGAGTGAGGAGAGACAGCTATTTTTGCAGGCTAAATTCAACTTGAAACAATAAAGATAACGAAGATTATTGGTCTACTAAATTACAATTTTAACAATGAATAAGCCAGTTTTGAATTCATTGGGGCTGTTGAATAAAAGCGCTAAAGACTCATTTGTACAGGGTCAGCTTTGACCCCTTAAGTAAAATATTCACAAATACCGGTGAGAAGGTACCTGAATTTGAGTTTAAAAATAAAAAAGTAATAAATAAATAAATAAACAAAACAATGGACATAGTTGTTCCAAGGACTTTACTGTCACATTAGGTCAAGGCTAACCCTGTATAAATGAGTCTTCATTGTTTCTATTCAGTGGCTGCCATGAATTTGAAACTAAATAATTAGGGCTAGGAGACCAAGGACATTGAGAATCAACCTAGGTTAAAAAAATTTAACCTGAATTCAATTTTGAACTGTAAAACTTTTTTCCTCGCCTGAGGACACAGATGTACATGTATTGCTGGCCGTCACTTCTCTCCACCCGAAAAGCAATGTCTGGGAACCCAAGCAGCCAAACAATTTCTGTGACATAAGACATTACTAGCCAATCACAGTTTAGCTCTTAAAATCAAGGAGCTAACTTGTGAGACTTCTCGTAAGATCATGCACAGTGGATATGTTTACAAGTCAAAAATGAATCTTGGATGATGTAACCTGTGTACAGCCATCCCTTCTCCTCAGAAAGATGCGTTTGTGAAAGTTAATTTGCCAGGATTGGGGGACTTATTGATGAAATAAGTACCAAGAGGATTCATATTGAAGAAGAGATAAGAGGAATTTTTTATCTATTTGCCTACGGAGTCAATTACTTATCACACCTTGCTGTTTTGGTCATATTCAAAACGATGTCTTAATGATGTAGATGCATCATGCTCTTTGTTCCTCTCTTGTTCCTCGCAGGAAAGTTTGCTTTGGAGGACTCTTCAATAGTTTGTTGTGTGCCGCTTGAGATATTGTTTCGCATCCTTTATCTTTGAAAGCTACGCTGTAAGACATTATTGTGGTAATTGATTTCCATGCATGGTTGCTTCTTGGTTAAGGCAGAACTTTGATCAGATCGAAAGCGTATTAGAGTTGTTCTTTTAATTCTTTAAATACATGTTCTTTTCAAGGTTTTAATTTCTATAGTTTTCTAAAAGACGAGTTGAAGCGTTGTGGCTGAAATGTCATCTTGACTATGATAAATTAACTTCTGTAAATATTTTATAGCATGTTGGGTCATGCCCACGTTAATAATATTTCACATTATTGTATTTAACAATTATTCCTCGAGCCTGAATGGGCTATTGACTCAGAGGCCATGAGGGCGAAAGGAATATTATTATTGTTTCAGTAAAATCCAACTAGTTGGTCAAAAATATTGAGAATAAAAAACTTTTACCTAGTTAAAGCTAGACTTTAATCCTTTTTTGCCACCAAAAAGCCTGCGCTTCTGCTACTAGTGGGCTATAACATATAGCCTTGTAGTAGCTCAACCAATCAGAATGCAGCATTGATAATAGACCACTAGTTGGATTTTACTAAAATGGTGATACTTGCAGGATTTGGAATTATTAACGGCGATTGTCAGAGATGTTTGACTCAGTGCAGGATGTGTCTGTACAATCAATGCACCACCTTTTGTTAGCGCTGGTTAAATTGAAATAAAATTAATCGTGAGTCAGAACGCGATGTCATATTATTTTCCTTCAGCTTTAGCGATTATTTTGTCCAGGTTTTGTATATGTCAATACTACCATATTTCATAAAGTGAAACCAAAGGCCTACATCACATACATAGCTTAAGAAGCCATTGCTTCACAAAGAAGTCTGCAGCCATCAACATCGCAGGAAACCTTGTTATAGTTGTGAAATTCACGTTCCAACACTTGCCAAAATCCTAGACACACAAGCGCACAAGAATGCGAGGAGCTGGACACTCAAGCTGAACTCGAACTGTAATCTACCCTTTGATCTGACTGGCCAACATCACAACAAAAATTTTTATGTCACAGAAACTGTTTTGCAGCTCGGGTTCACAAAGTTACTTTTCAGGTGGAGAGAAGCAACGACCAGAAATACACCTGTGCCCGCAGGCTTCTATTCTCCAGCCTTGATACATAGTTACATGCATGTGTACATGCACTTTTAATACTGAACTACTTACTTGATGCAAGGAAACTGTTCACTACTGAGGAATCTCCTTTCTCCAAAGCATTCTATTCCACGTAAGACCTCACACCATACTCTTGTATGGTGCACATCATCATACTTTGAGCCTCCAAACTGAAATTTGAATGCAGTTGAATGCTATTTAACAGAGTTTACAACAAGGAAACCAAACATTGCATATTCAAGTAACAATCATCCAGCGTTAAGTAAATCTTAATATTATTTTATAAAAGGGCCAACATGGACAAGCTGCCAGTGTGCTGGAATTGTAATTCACAGAACTGGGTTCAATACTTAGCCACCTGATCCACTTTCTGTATTTATTTGTGTAAACACGAAGCAGCTCACTTTTTAATAATTTTGTTAGAAGGAACTGAAAGAGCATCTTAAAATTTGATAACCTAATTTTCAGCCATAATATACCACAAAAGTGGCAATTGCAAAGGATTTGTATGGGAAAAACAACTCTTGACATTAAGTCACTCTTGAATGGCTTTTCATAGTACAAATTCTTGTAAATTTTTTCAAACTGTCATTAAAATCTTTCCCTTATGCATTAAGGAACTCAAATTTTCTTTTGTTCACAATACAAAGTTTGAGTCCTGTAATGCATGCATAAAGCAAAGATCTTAGGACAATTTGAAACTGTCAAAATTTACGATGATTTGTATGGAAAACCATTCAAGTGTGACTGGGTGGCAAAGCATTGTTTCCCCATACAAATTCTTCTAATTTCTGGCAGCCATTGCAGTCACAGCTTTAGAGGTGCACTGTTGAAAATTTACAGGTTACCTAACTTTAATATGCTCTTTCATATCCTGCTAACAAAATTTTTCAAAAGTGAACTGTTTTCGTGTTTACAGAAGTTGCTGCAAAAGGCCTATTCCTTCACTGACCTCTACATGGGTTTATTTCATGGTAGTCACAAGTTGAACTCCTCAACCATGCTTGTTTATAAGAAATATTATTATTTCATTTTCTGCTGCTTTGGAATTTTAACTTGTCAATTGTTTTATTGCGAACACAATTTCATTTGCTTGTAAAAAAGAACTTTCTCACATTCCAGTTCAGTGTGCATTCAATGAAACCAGGATAAGGTAATAGTTAATTTTACCTTTGTTGCCCGATTTCTGTGAACTGATCTTTGTAAATTCCCCTCGAGAAATAATTTGAGAGAAAATGAAGGTGATAATTTTATTAATTTGTGTAACCTGAACAGGTAGGAGAAAATTGAACTTGATCACTTTTGGGGCTTACAGGGTTAATAAATCTGTATTACTTTTTCTCATTCAAAGCCTTGAATGGCACATCTTTAAGAATGTATGAAACATCATGTTTTCCTACCCCTCCCGCTCCCATTTTTGTACATCCCGGGAACACTAGGTTATAGTCTATCATATGTAATCCCTACAAGGATCCTTGTAGGGAGTGTATTATAATAATATTATTTACTTAGACATACTTTAGTACATCCATAACCAGATTCTTGTCTTGCAGTATCATTTCCATTTAAGTCAACTGGAGGGTCACACTGAAGAAAATCCATGGGTCTATAAGAAGCCAAAAACTTGAAATAAGCTTAAAACACTAAAATAAAACTGGTGTCCTAATCTAAAAAATATCCTGGCATCATTTTTGATCAGGGGCTGCTGGTAGTATAATATGACCACCATCATACTACATGTAGACGTTGCTGATCTCCAGAATGGGCTGCTAGCCATGCAAAACAATCATCCTACAAGTCTTGTCGTTCCACTACAGTCATGTGGGTTTCTTTGCCAGTTCTCTCTGTTAGCTTCTTCCATTGGTTTTCCTTTTAAATACTGCCTTCGCACGTACATCTCCCAATCAACATGCCATTTTTATTGTTGTTGTTGTCATTATTATAATTTCTTGCTTTGTGCACTGGCTGATCTTATACCTTTATTTTTCATTCAAAATAATTCTCCAGTTCTGATTGGCTCAAATCAAACAGTTACCTCTTTATAACCTGTGCAGGGTTTTGAGCTAGGATTTGATCACCGGGGGACAATTTGTCCCCTTGGCTAAAATTTTGGGGGACATTTTCATTTTTAGGGGGACAGAAATTTGTACACCCTTCTGCTGATGCAAAGGGGTTTGTCTTCTTAGCAGGGCTTCTGATAGGTCTCGGAAGAAAAAGTCAAATTTCGCGGGATTTTTAGGGACAAATTCGCGGAAAAATCGGCTGAGTTTTTCGGGGCAAACTTCACCGAAAAGCAATCGGTAAAAAAACGGCCGATTTTGTGGTTATTTTCAGGCAAATTTGGCTAGAAATCGATCGGTTTTGCGCTGATCAGACCAGCCTTTTTAACGTTTTTCTAACAGAGGTCATCATTTGCTCTTTCAACAATAATACTCTCCAGAAATGGACCAATGGCAAAGCCTTTAACATCATGGCTAGTGCCCAGTTTTTCGCAAAATAATCTGTTTGCACGTTCCAAGATAAATTTGCAAGTTTACGGCAAGTAAATAGCCCCAATAGCTGAAATAAGTTTCAAATATGTTGTACAGACATGTATTTGATAAGATTTCTACCGAATGTCGCGGCTCCGCGACCGCGCGAAGAATGAGAAGCCCTGTCTTAGATTTCCGACAAAAATAGCAGTAGAACGTGACTGAAAAGTAACTTTGGAGTGAACTGTAAAGGTGCGATAAAATATACTTTCCACGTTCTGTTTCAGCTTGCAATTTCTGTACTGAAATAAATCTCTTCGTATGTGCTTCCTTTCGAGTTTTTTCCCTAACTTTTGAAGGGGACAAATTGTCCCCTTGGCCGTTTTTTAAAGGGACAATTCCGATTGCAGGGCGGGATTGGCGCAATGGCGCGGCCTGGCTCAAACCCTGTCTGTGAGCACTATCCATCTTATTTTGGGAGACATTTGAGATATCCAGAAAATGACATCAATATATATAAAAATAGTACAGGGTTAATTTTATTGGCAAAAAAGGAATGGCAACCAAGAATCCCTGGGACAAGGTTGGGTTGTTTTGGTAGAGCAGTACAAAATGGCAGAACATTTCACATATTTCACAAAGAAGAAATAGCTGAACTACTGCCCAAAAACAAAGCAAGAGTAGTAAGAATACGACAAATGACAAATACTGTTTGGAGAATATCTTCAGAAATAAACATCCACTTGTTTTAATGAATTTGCCAAGAAACAGGCAAATGAAGAAGGGAACCAACATCAATAAGCATTAAATTTTTTTCAGCTTGTTTTTGAACCAGCAGTTATTGGATTTCACTTTTGTATCATCTGAAGAATTAACAATAATGCAGATCCCTGACAATGTTATCCGTCTTCAGATCATCCTCAGTCTTATCTAATACTTTCTAATTATTATAATAATAATAATAATAATAATAATAATAATAATAATAATCATTAGTAATAATAGTTAATAATAATAACAATAATTATTATTAATTTAACTTTGATTTAATTTGATTTAATTTTGATTTAACAGCAGCTATTCGTAGTAAAGGAGATGGCAATATTTGCGTACAGCCCCACACATTTATTACACATCTATAGTTTGACTCTGTTCATATCAACTATTTGTATGAAATAGTCTGCGAGTGTCGTATGCGAAATAAATGCTTATGACGCTTATCGGAATATTCGGTATAAGCTTATCTTATCAAAAAATAAAACACACAAGACTTATACTCACAAGAAACTGCACTTAACAAGTGGTCCTTTAGGATCAAATTCTCTGCCACATGATTCCTCAAAGCACTGTTCATCAACGATGTTATTGCCTAGACTTTTACTTAGCATCGATGTCAAAGCAAAGATTGAACTGAAAAAAAGGTAAACTCGCTTCCCGATCGCCATGTTTGTTTAGAATGTTATCCCAGAACCCCTTGCCGTAGCGTTTAGAGTGGCAAGCCGTGGTTACAAATGAAACGCCTGGTCGATTTTTTTCCCAGTCTAAACGAATGGTTCATTTGAGAGTTTTATTAAAGATTTACTCAATTTTTAGTGCAATTTGCCGAGATTTAAGGTGAAATGGATAGAACAGCGCTTTTCAAAGCTACTGTGAAGACTATTCGAACTAAAAATAAGGCGCTAGGTGTCAAAGAAACAAGCAGAGACATTCTGAGTCCCAGCAGGAGACGAACTGAGTTTGGAAGTAAAGCAAAAGATGTGGTAGGATGAGATTTAATTATTGTGTAGGATTTTCAGCTGTATATTTTCTCCATCTGTATTTAGAAAGGTTTCAAAGTAATCATTTTAACCGTTAGATTGCTGATATTTTCATTTGTCATTTACAGCTCATGAACATCACCAAACTGAGAGATTTCCTTCTAGAACATCAGAAAGACTACATAAGTCCATTCAGGTAATTTTTGTACATAATTAATGCTTTCTATTTATGTTGCTCGTTTCATACATTTGTTAAGTGAAATGATGTCATTAATTAAGGTATTAGATCTGCTATAAACCATTGCATTTAAAAAAATTGTTTCTCAAATAATAACGAATTTTGAAAAATGAAAATTACACAGTCCTATCAAGCGAGACCTGAGCTTTCAGAAAATTGATATCTAAGAGGTCAATTTTCGCACCTAAGGTGTTATTTCCTTTATATATCGCCGGCTCAAGAATTCAAGAAGTCCTTATTTCTGGCTTTCTCTCGATATCTAGGAATAAAAAAATGGAACTAACTTATAATTAGATCGTTCATTTACCGTTAAATTCCTGGCAGTAGTAAGTTAATTTTTCCTGAGATATAGAGGTTGAATTTTTTTTTAATACCCTATAACTTCAGACCACCGCCAAAGGTCCAAAATATTCCAGCAATTGCGGGGAATTTGGTACATTTTTCCTTAACATTATTTGAATAAACCTGGCAAGTTTCAGTGTGGTATTATAAATCCTCATATTTTTACATCAATTTGTTTTCAGTGCGGTCCAACGCAGCCGCAATATTGCCCTTAATTCGCCCTTAATTCTTGTCGCGCTTTGCTGTTTTCTTTGTCACGATCTTGAATTCTTACGAGCAATTCAAATTACCGCTGTTCTTTATGTTCGTTGTGACAGTGACGCAATTGTAGCAGAGAAAGTGACGAGAGAATGCGAAAATCTTTGTTTGAACTCGTTACATGACGTGCTCTTATTATGGCATTATAAACAATGTTTTAGCTTTAGTAACGTGCTAATTTGCATAATAGGTCACTTAACTAGAGCCTTATCTGTCATCGACCTTGCAAGGATCATATATCTAATGTGTCTCTAGGAGGCTTTTTACGGCCATAGAAATGACTTACAAATATCAAAACAATATTGTACTGTATTTTTGGAAGCAGAATATAAGAGAATTTTGCTATAATTTGCCCTAGCTTTCTTGAAACTCATAATGCGTTATCGCGTGCCAGGTTGTGAAAATTGCAACATTTCTGTCAACAACCGTGAGTATCGCGTTGGATTTCAGGCCTGTGATTATTAATATTTCCAAAATAGTGCTCAGAGATACTAACGTTGGCCCTCATTTTCTTGGCTTCTCTTTAGCGAAAATGCTTCATTTTTGGAATTTGAGTTCAGGTTAAGAGTACTTTTCAAATAAGCAATTTTATAGGCATGATCATATTTTGACTTTATAGCAGTTATAATACCTTAAGAATGTATTGGTAATGGATTTAACACTTTTTGCAACTCAGTCATTTGAGTTTGGAGGTGTCCAGTATGACAGATGAAGAGAGGGATCAGATAGACACAGATGCTGAAACCTACATGAGAACCTGTTCAGTTGCTATAGAGGCACTCAAGTCTGAAGGTATGATTACAAAAGTAAATACTCAGAGAGACACTGCATTTACATGTACAGTATGTTGCCCAGTATCCGGACGGTACCAGTATCTGGACACTTGAAACAAAAACTCAATTTTTGAGGCGCCCTTTTCAGTTCTCGGTAAATGAAGTATTTTCGAATTTCAGAGCTCTTACGATTAACAAAGGAAAGTTATTGCAATCTTAAACTGAAGTGTCCGGATACTGGGCAACATACTGTACATGACACTTCTTTTTGTTACTCTATTTTTAAGCTAAATTACCTGAGCATACACTGTACATGACTGTACAGCCACAACCTGTGACCGTGTTGGTTGCCATGGCAAGAAGAACAAAATTTTGGGACAAAAATTGAATTAAATGTCACCAATTGACTATTAAGCGATGTGTGTTTGGTGGTGTACATGTACCTGTAAATGTACAAGTTGATGATTTTAATAGTTTGTTTTTGTGGTCTTTCCAATGTTCATTTGAAATCTTGAAAAATTTGCCCTAGGTATTACTGTCTTGTAGTACATCTTCTTTAAAATATATTTTCTCTTTCACCCTGCGGGCTGTCCAGGTATTAAGCCTTGAGATGTTGCGTGTGCATCGAAATTTGATTTTAGTAGTTGGATAGCCATTTTGATTAATTTGTTTTAAAACAATCAACATTTTATATCTGGTGACTATTGTGGGGCAAGGTGGTAAAGTGTCCTCTCCAAAAAGGAATTGAGTGGCCAGGGAACTTTTTCTCTAGGAGCAAAAAATTATTTAATTAATTGTTGTGATGTTAGCATAAGACAGGAGCACCCAACGTCATGTTTTGAAAAAATATCTGTTCAGAAGACGATTTGAGTTCTAGAATTTTCAGAACATTTGTTGTAAAATTTCTTGCTCACCTGCCTCTCCTAGGATTTTCGAACATCTAAAAACTGGTATAATTGACCATTTTTAATGGATTTTTACCCTAAAAAGGTGACCTAGAATTTTAGGGAGCCTTTATTCTGGCTGAAATTTTCAAAAAAGGTAAGTTTTGATCCCTATATATTTCGGATCACTAGACTTTCAGCTAGGAAATCCGAACAGATGAACAATTTTTAGGGGATAAAAATATGCCTATATCTACTGTTGAAATATTAAACTACATTCAACAATGCTATGTTTAAGTGGTTTTGAACCATATTCTTGTTGGGTGCCCCTGATAAGATTATGTTGGACTTTAACCATAGAGAAACTGCTGCAACTAAGTAGAATAAATTAAAGCAACAATGTGTTATTTTTGATAGCACTGCAGTATAAGAGAAGTGATCAAGTGATGACTCACAGAGATGCTGTGCTTGGAATGCTCGGACAGTATTTAAAAGGCAAGCTTTTAACATCTTTTTATAAAATATTTTGAAAAGTCCGTCCGAATAACTAGGTTTGAATGTTTAGTACAATGTGTTAATAAACTGATAGATAAAATTGGCTCGGTTTTACTTACGGGACAAAAGAAGTGGAGACTTATTAAAGTTGATGAATGATTACAAGATGGAGGTACATGTATTACACAGGGGTTTCAATAAAAATTGAAGTAGGCAGCAGGTTTGAATAAAGTAACTGACTGTATCAACAAGGGGTCGTTAGTCACCTTTTTTTAGGGGGATGGGGGATGAAGGGGTCTGGGTGCATTTTGCCCCAGAAAATTTTGAAACTTCAATGCCCTAAAATGCGATTTTGAGGGTTCTGGGGACTAAAATCGAGGACAGAAGAGTGTGGGTTTTTCATTCAAGAAAATGTAGCTCTCAATATTTATCAGTCACACAATCAATTCGTGCAAGCAACGAACAAATGAACTAAATTACGTACTTTTTTAAACCTATAAAGTAACTTGTGAAAAAATGACTGAAATGTAGCATTCTCATAACTAAAGCATAATGTAAAACCAGTGGGCCTTTGTATTATAAAAACGCATAATAATTATGTTTTCATTCAGTTTTTATGATATTTTTTTTGTTTACAACGTTATTCAAAATAGTTGCTTCTTCTTTCTAGAAAAAAGTAGCCGACTTCTATGAGCAAAGTAGCCAATGTGTTTTGTCTCCCGGCGGTACTTATTGAAACCCCTGATTACATGTACCTCAACCTTGTAATCATTTTTCACTTATTCAATAACCCAGTAAGAAGCTGTAGAACAGTTTCCGTAAAGCGAGGTTTTTTGTCATGTGTCTTGACTACTGTTTGCTCAACTTCAGAAAGTGCAAAATTTTGCGGCTAGATAGGGCTGCCACCGGGGCAAGAAAATTTGACTGCATCACCCCCATATTAACGCAACTCCAATGGTTGCCAGTTGCTCGGTAACTTGTAGTCAGAGATGCTGTAATGTCATTTAAATGTTTGCACGGACTAGCCACAGCATATTTGTGCAGCAAATTCATTGTACCAGACACAGAAACAAGTTGGATCTACCGCTGTTCAGATCAGTTACCGGTCAGCAGTCATTTGTTTACAGAGCCACTCAGCTTTGGAATGAATAACACCTCAGACTCTAACAAATGTGAATAGTTTGATTAAGGGGGCTCTTAAGAGTTGCACTTGGAAGAATATTGTAGTTACATAACACCTTATAAACTTAGATTCTTTATACTAGCCAGGATAGTTTTTGTATATTTATAATTTTTTACTGTAATTGTTATAGAATAACGGGGCTGTCAACCCTACCACGTCATCAAATATTGAAAATTGATGGGGAAGAGATGATAGATGACGTCACAATGCATGGCCATGGCACATGACGTCATTTTGTGAAAAAAAATGCGCGAAAAAGATGTTGTTGGAATTGTAACATTTGACCTAATTGGTTTACTTCCCACCAATCACATTAATTTATTGCTCATATTACAATGGCATATTGAAGTTTGTGAGGAAACGTTCAATGATAACAGTAACTATAGCTCAAATATTTGAAATCTCATTGTCAGAAAGTCGAAACTACAAGAAATGGCAAACTTCGATGATTATCCGGAAGATTTCAGACTCTAATCTGGAGACCGGGAGAAACGGTTCAAAATCTAGAGTCTCCCAGATTATTCAGGAGAGTTGACATCCCTGGTATAACCATTTTATGGGAGTGAAAAATAAATTTTAAAAAACAAATTTTGTAAATTCAAAATCTAGAGTCTCCCAGATTATTCAGGAGAGTTGACATCCCTGGTATAACCATTTTATGGGAGTGAAAAATAAATTTTAAAAAACAAATTTTGTAAATTATTTTATTTGTTTAGTTGCTAAGGTCTTGGTAGGTGTCAGAAAAAAGTATGGATTTATTCTAAATGACATAAATCAACAGTGTACATGTATTCCAAAACTCTTTGGTTTCTTGAGCCTCCTGGTTATTCAAGTCAAAACTAATTATACAATGTACATAAGCTTCCTGTCGCAGTTAAACATTGTACCCTTACTTTTACCCCAGAGTTTTTTTTAATCTAGCCTCTCAAGAATTGAAACCAATTTCCTGTAGGACTTAAGTTATTCTGTTACAGGTCAGCAGGCATGAATAAAGGTCCAGCTGTGACTTGAACCTTATCACTATCCCAACAGCTTCAGTCCCACCTGAACCTATGCAAATTAGGCCCAGTGTCTAATTTACAAGGATTCTTCCACCCAGGCGTTTCTGGAGTAGGGATTCCACTTTATACTTCTGTTTGTCATTTGTAATAAAAAGTCTTTGTATTTTTTTCATCTTACCGGTAGTTGTTTGCAGACTGTACAGTGAACAGAGAGCAATCAGGGTAAAGAGAGTAGTGGACAAGAAACGAATGTAAGTTAGAAGCAGCTGACAGTATAGGCTCAGGGCACTTTCCATTTGTCAGAACTGGCTGGCCAAACCATGCCTTACTAGACAGTTTAAAAAAGGAAATAGGCTTTTTCAAAGAGTTTTTGATGAAAAAGTAATGTTATCCTTTTTGCTTACTATTCAGGATTTGATTAAAAAGGAAATTATCATTGCAACAGGAATGGTCTGGCTGGTCAGTTCTGACAAATGGGAAGCGCCCTCAGTTTCCAGCCTTAAGTGTATTGATGTGCCCACAGTATTCCCTGGAGTGGGGAGTAATGAGGGTGCATCAAGCCACCCAAGGCTGGAGACTGAGCCTGAATGACAGTACACTGTAATAATATACACTTAATGTCAGATCTCGAGGGAAACAGTTAGTTTTGTTTTCCTGAGGGTCCATCAGGACTTGAGGGAAAACAAAAGTAACTGCAGGTTTGCTGAGGGACCTGACATTAAGTGTTTTGTTATATTTCTAGACTTTAATTTGACCTCAAATACTTATAACAACACAAATTTAATTCTCAAAATCACTGAATGAAGGATTTACAAAGTACCTTCCTTATATTATCTGCATCATTTTCCTCCACTAGCTGCTGTTTTTCATCTGGGAACTTCTGGGATAACTTTAAAAATTGTTGCTTTTTAGCTTGAGGCTTTGTGTTTGTGTTGTTGTGTTCATTCATGAAAAAAAACTGGCAGGACCTGGCAGTGTTTTTCCTGCCTTTTGTCATGCCACTTTCCACCATGCTTTGATCACATGCTGTAAATATGGAGCCCGAGCGGGGTACATTGCTTAATGTATCACGATCGGGATACATTTAATTTTAGTCAAGGCCACGTGACCAAGAATCAACCAATGGCAGTCCGTGTTTAGTTGAGTGCAAGTCTAGGAATAATTATTATAAAGATTCCCTAAGGTACCAAGACCCCCTCTCAAACCCCAATATAGTCTCCTTCATCAATTCACACAGTACTTTGCCTATCTGCCAAGCCATAGGCCAGTCAAAGGCAGGTTGTAGATTTGATTGGCCTTGTGGCTCAGTTGGTAGGATTCATAGAGTGTCTTTAGCTTACTACTCAGCACTCACATTATAACATGGTTAACTGTTTTACTTTACATTTGACTCCATGCTTTTTTGTCTAGTGTTGGATGATACATAGAGTTCACCCTTTCTTTTCCTCAGATACTGTCCCTTGTGTACTTGTACTTGTACTTCTGAGGTAACCCCCAGTCAAATCCTAGATCCCCACAAGCCACCATCCTTGGGGTGATCACTGTCTTATAATGCCTTTTTCACCCTTTGATTGTTAGTTCCCGTCTTCAGCCTGATCAAAAGAGAGTCAAGCAAACAGCTAGCTCTTTGGATTCTGCCACATCAACTGCCAAAGAAGATGCTTCCAAAGAAGGTAAAACAACAACTCATCCAGAACTTGAAATGGCTCCATCTGTCAGTGAAGGTGAAGAACTGACACCAGAGGAAGTACAGCTGGTAAGTTGATATATTTTACTGGACACAAATCATCATCATCAACAACAACAACAACAACAACAACAAGCTTTATATGGTATTGCAAAAGCTATTTTATAATTACATTATTTTGAAGAATAAGAACTAATGTTTAATTTTATAACAGGACAATGAAGCTACTTTCATTGTTAATAATTAATTTGTTGCAAAAACAAAGCAAGCTGAAATATATTTCATGAATAATATATATTGATAAAGTAATTAGAGGAGTTCATCATTTCATTGATCAAAATGTCTACGGGTAATTGGGTAATTTTTGGAATCAGAGTCTTAACTTTATTTTCAAAAAATATTCCTAATGAAAGAGTATTTAGAACAAGTTTTAAATCAAGTTGATACAGTACATGTCAGGGGCAGATCTAGAAAATTCAAACGGGATACTGAGACACTTAAATGCTATATAAATACCATTATTATTTTATAAATAAACTAAGAATTCTTTAACATAATACAAAATTTCACAGGAAAAGGGGAGGGGTGAGAGTAGTCCCTTTTATAGACTCCTAGGTCTGCTTACGCATAAGAATTATATTCAGTGTCGATTAGAAAAAAAATATCCTCTGGATCCCAGGGTAGCCGCTCCCCTGCTTTCCACATTCTATCGTCATGCAATGCTCCTCCCCAGTATGCATGTAACAAAGCAGCTTCATGACCTCTTAATTAATGTAAGCGGAAAGCTTGGTGCATGTATTTATAAGTAAGATTATATTAAACCAATTGTGGGTTGTAGGATAAGCCAATTTTGAAATATCTGCCAGGGATACATGTCCGCTTGGTCTACTTTAAACATAAACGTTTGCAGCTGAAGTATAGGTACATGTAAATGTATGGCTATGATTGTTTTCAATAAACATTTCATGCTCATAAAGGTGCTTTTTGAATTTTCTTATTTAAACTGACTAGTTTGAAATGGAAAATAAGAAGTTATTTGCTGAAATGAACAGTTTGGTGGATGAAGTAAGGTGGGTGTGTGACGCATTATAAGTATTACAGTATATTCCAGGGATGTATTCCAGGAGTCACATAAAATTTGCACCAAGGATAAAACTGAACCCCTACACCCCATAACATCTACAAGCCACATAAGTATAGAGTTTAGTATGATAGTATACATGTATGTACACTGTACATGTTCAGTTGTGCTATTTAACACTAAGGAAGTGGTCTATTTGTGCCCTTACACTACACAAACCCTTTGGACCTGCGTCTATAAGATGTTCAAACACGTTAAGAACCCTAATCTGAGACCTTCTTAAGCCATGTCCCTGTCAGTGTCTGTATTTTACTACTGTACATTTTTGTGCATGTCTTCATTGCCGTCATGGTTCAACCTATCATTTTATTGGTTGCCATTTTTATCTGTCCTTGTTTCAAGGCTATTCACTCTTTAAAATTTTGACCCCTATACAAGTATAGGGCCTCTAATCTGGCCCTCCAGCCACTCTTTAAAATTTTGACCCCTATACAAGTATAGGGCCTCTAATCTGGCCCTCCAGCCACTCTTTAAAATTTTGACCCCTATACAAGTGTAGGGCCTCTAATCAGGCCCTCCAGCCACTCTTTAAAATTTTGACCCCTACCGGGCCTCTAATCTTGACCCTAAGGGTCACTTTTTGAAAGTTTGACACCTACAGGGCCTTTAATCTGGCCCTTTAGAGGGTCATGGACACTTACCACTGTACATGGGAAAACTGGAAGTTTCAAGTGGAAAATCCAGTGGTTTATTGCATGCCATTCAGTTTGGGAAGCTACAGAAAAAATAGCGCCGGGCTGTCATTTGAGACCATCGATGCAGCATTTTCTTCCCTTTTCAGTCTGTTCAGCCGATTTGGATATTCTTCTTAGTGGGTCGTTCTCCCACTACATCAAAATATGTAATTTTTGTAGTTTTATGTTCATCAGCAAAATTTCCAACCGGGTGGTTTGTGTAAAATGTAAGCACCTTATGTCTTTTATTCGTTGCAATCTGTTGTATGCAGAGATTACAAATGAAAAGTTTAAAAATTGTAACTGCAGGCCTTAATTAAATTAATACTTTGTATTCTCTTTTGACATATAGGCAAATAGAAGGAAGAGTAGTAGAAATCTCCCAGCTGCAAGAAATATTTTCTGAAAAGGTTTTACACCAGGTGAGAGATCTTGCTTTGCAATGCCAAGTACCCATGCTGTTGAAAAACTTATTTGACGATTGAACATCGTAAAGAGAATAGAAACTTCAAATTCCAGTCCTCTCTTGTTTTTTTTCTTACATTCTGTTTTTGACTTTTATTCCAAACTTTTTCAAAGTCCAACCAGATAGACAGGATATATGAAACAGCTGTTGGGACAACGGAAAATGTCAAAGGAGGAAATGAACAGATTAGAGAGGTATGGTTTTAACTAATACATAAAGTTATTGGATTTATCACACCTGGGGGGTACTCCCTATAATGGCCCATACGGGGAGGCCCCACCCAAAAGGGATACCTTTTTCAGGCTTCCAGTTTATGAAAGGGATTTAACTATAGTTGAAGTATATGAAAGGGTAGGGAATTCAAATTGGTTGTTTATGACTGTGAAAAAGACAAGAAAACTTTCTGGTTTAGTGATTTGACGGTGCATCTGTAGATCAGTTCAAAACGGATGAAAAGCTCTAAACTAGCTATGTGAAAAGGGTACCATGTCAATAAAAGGTATACAAAAGGGGAACCTTTTCTCCCTGATCTCTATCAAAAAATAATGATATGTAAGAGAACAAGAGGTTGGACCTCAGGTGGATCCTCCCTGTATAAAATTTTTGGAGTACCCTTCCCACCCAGGCGTCACAGCAAAACCCAGGGGAGGAAAAAACAAGTAAAGGGTGGGGAGAGCTACTCAGTAAGGAGAGAGGGTAAGTTTCTCCTTTCTCCCTCTCTTCTGCCTCTAAGCTGGAAAGTTAAAGCTTTCAATTCTCAGCTGTTCATTAATCCTTTTATTTTTTAAAAATTTCTAGGCAATTAAGAACAATGCCAGCTTCAGAGTTTGGATTCTGTTCTTTCTGGTGATGTGTTCACTTTCTCTGCTATTCCTTGACTGGTACAGCTGAACTGATGAAAACAGATGAAATTGAATTTTATGAACTAAACAGTCACTTGCCAACTGGGAAATGGAAGACTGTGCATTCTCTTTCGAGGCTAAATAAATATTATCTCCTCGTTCTGCCATGAACCATTTTAATTATTTATATTATTACTTTGGGATATATATTTTACAATCCATTTTTCTGTTTATAGAGAAATAATATTCCCTTACTTTTGAAGGAAAATAAATCATCAATTTGATGATAAAGTCAGTTGTATTTGTGTAAATTCATGATAATTGTATTTTAAAACCTTTTAAGCCCCAACATCAACTTGCATCTTCTCCACACTGTTCTTCACACATTCCTTATGGTAATGCTGGAGAGGATTTGTTCGAATATCACAACAGTTCATCTTTGGTGATCATTTCATTAATTCTCATGACCGAAATGTTTGATCAGGAAATGTTATTGTTGGGAGAAATGGGATGTTGGTCACTATTTGGGCTTCAAAGGTTAAAAGAGATATTTAAAAGTCATAAAAGAAGCAATGTAGAATGAATTTATTGAAACAATAACTCAAGAAGAAAAATATTATTTTAATATGTCAGCAAATCAAGTTTATGTTTTATACAAAATTTTATTGACAAAATTCTACAATATTTAAAATTCTACAAAAATAGGATGCTTACTGTACAAGTCACACGGATTATTATCAAGAATTAACTATGTAGTTTAATCTCAAGGATTTTCAGAAACATCACCTAAAACAGTGATTTCTAGAGTAAGGTATTAAAATTCTAATAAAATAATGAAGATTTTGTGATAAAAATAAACATTATTGAGGTCAGACTTACCATGTCTGACAAAAATTTTAAAGAAAACCACGTTTTACCTAGAGTCAAACACATTTTGGCAGCCACAAACTCTGCGCCACTTTTTGCTGCTGTTTGTTTTGAAGAGCCTATGAGCACCTATTCTGTAAACACAGATGTATCATACAAAGTATTTGCAGCTATCACTTCTTGCCACAGTCTTATGGTATACAGTAAACATCTGTGAACTAAGAACCTGCATTTTTCCAAGTTAATTAGCCTAAACAGGTTCGAACATAAAAATAATGTTAATTAGCACAAAGTAGGCCAGTAGTACCTGTAGGTACCAGTAGGTACCAGTAGGCTAATCCAAAGAGGATTCTGAATTTTGACTTATCTTATTTGCCAAAGTGTAAATAACTTTTTTTTATAGAGTTTAGAAAATAAGAACCTGCTTCAAATTGTAAGCTTAACAGGTTCTTGTATAGAGGGGTTCTTAAAAACCAGGTTCATGGTCGCGGGTTTTTACTGTACTAGAGAGGAAATACCTCTGTACTACAGAGGTTAGTCTGTCCTCTTCTACTACAGCGTAAAGTTAATCCTACACTGTACCTGTTGATCATAAAATCTGTTAGAATATAAACTAAACATTGTTTTCCTTATCCATTTGAAAAGTAGTATTGTTAAAATAAGAACACTTTGTCTTACTCTATTAGTTTGCTGAAAAAAATAAATTGTTGTATAAAACATTTATTTGACTTGAATTCCATTGTGTCCTTTAGACAACCAGTTCTCATCTTTTTTACAAGTCTGGGGCCGTTGTTTGCATGTCTCACATGTAAAATTTACTACTGGTAGTTACAAGATGACTTTCCTAGATGTCTCTACTCTGTAGAGGCTTGCACGTTTTTAAATAATAATTATTAATCATTATGGTAACTGCACAACAGGAGCGGATCCAGGTATTTTTGATGGGGGGGGGGGGGGGGGGG